TTACCACCAGAGTTGAGGACTGCTGTAAACTGCTCAGAGAACTTGGGCCAGGGGTGGTATAGAAATGAGAGGAACAAGTAATTTCTAACTGACGCAAGCTCATGTTGGCTTGAGCATCTCCGAGCCAGGACACCAGAAGCTAAGGCTCAGGATCAATAACACTATCACAGAGTGCCACACTGTACTTTGCTCACAACATGTTTCTCCTAGTTCTTCTGGCCTGAATCCAGATGGGAGGAGGGCCAGCAAAGAGGCTTCATGTTGTCCAGGTCCTGAATCACCTCAGGAAGCGTCCGAAGCTCACCGTATTGTTGGAAGAACTCTTGTGAGTGGGTCCATGCCCATGAGTAGCCTAGTACAATGTGTGACCTTGCACAACATGACTGAGCACATCTGTCACGGCATCAGCCCCAGCTTTCCATTTGCTGTTTCTTGCAGAGCTTCAGCCAAGGTGAGCTAAATCCAACTGCTATCTTCACGCAGCAGGTTCTGGGACAATTGCATTTCCCTGGCTCAAAAAGCCATTAGAGTGTTCTGAAAGAACGTGCTTGTGCTAACTTCTTAACTTCCTGCGTTAAAGAACACGCGCACACACCCAGAAGCCACTGAGTTAATGTCTATAACTGCACAGACGTAAAATCATAGAATAGTAGAGTTAGAAGGGGCCAAGAAGGCCATCGAGTCCAACCCCCTGCTGTTGCAGGACACCACGTTACACCCTACCACTCAGGTGGCTGCCCAGTTTCGCCTTGAATGCCTCCAGCGTGGGGGACCCCCCCCCCACCTCTCCAGGCAGCTGGTTCCACGGTCATGTTGCTCTGACAGTGAGGAAGCTTTTCCTGACGTCCAGCCTGAATCTGGGTTGTTGCAACTGGAGTTATTCCATCCAACACTCTGGTATCAGCAAGAAGAGATCTTGTGGCAGCCTTTGAAGTACTTCTAGAGGGATATCATGTCCCCCCTCAGTCTTCTCTTGTCAAGGTTGAACATGCCCCGTTCTCTCAGTCTCTCCTCATAGTGTTTCCAAACCCTGGATCATTCTGGTTGCCCTCTTCTGGACCCTTTCTAAACTTTCTGCATAGATGGAGTCCGACTAGTGAGGAACAGAGGGGAAACGACATGTCCTGTATCCTCAGAAAAGCCTTCTTCTGGAAAATCTGGCACAACATTTCCATTTGCCTTCCCATCTCTCCTCATTCGTGATTGCGTAACCAGTGAAAGGGATTCCCTCTGCCTTCAGAACAGTCTCCCTCTTGTTATCTGCCAGCCCATCTCTGCCATGGTTTCCCCACTGCCAAAATGCCAAGAAGAACTGCTTGGTGGAACAGCGACACTCTCGCTTCAGAGCAAAGCTGAGCGGGCCTGACATATGGTTGTCAGCATTTGCTTCCATCGGCATTCACGGGGCAGAAAAACCGCTCTTCCAAGCACTGCTAAACCAACAAAAGCTGTATCGCCCCTCAACAAACCCGAAGCAAGCACATCAGCAGTTTTTGCCAGAATTTGGAAGAAACATATGCCAAGTCACAGCTTGGAGTCAAAATTAGAAATGTGTCCATCACAGTACTCTGCAACTTGTTTTACCTGGGGCCATTTTTATCAGATTGCTTTAGAATTTTACACAACCGTTTTGCATATTTGGTAGCTTTCATATTCGCTTTCCAGGCGGCATTTTTATTAGCAGGATTTTGAGGCTTTTTTGCAACTCACCATAACTAAACAACCACTCCCTTAATTTTCAGCCTACAACGAGGGCCTTCTGAGCAAACAGAGCGCCTGGACTGGTTGATTCAAATGCCCAGTTTCCACCCTAGAGGCAGCTGAGGAGATCTTTGGAGATCAACAGTGGTTCTGTAGGAAATTGAGTGAACAGTTGTGAAACTGTTAATGTGGACCTGTCAGAGAGAGGTCTCAGCTGGACGGCAAGATGTACACTTTCTATGCAGAAGATCCCACGTGGAACATCCTTGATTAGAAGTAACTTCGGTGGAGAACCACCTTAAGGTGCAAGAGGCCATACTGGACTAGAGCAAGAATAGGGAACTCTGTGCCCTTCAGATGTCATGAGGCTACAACTCCCATGAGCCCCAGTCAACATGGCTGATGGTGAGGGATGATGTGAGTCGTGCTCTGCCCCTGGGCATGATGTACTAACAATTAGATTTCACATTAGATAGCTGTATATTTTCCTATCCCGTACACAATATAGGTTTGCACAAAGGTCACTGGGGAAGAGTTTTATTTCTTGGGTTTACTTGGCATCTAACTTTGCATGATCTTTTGCAGTAACTGCATCAACTCTGCTAAAAACACGTATTTATTGTTGTAAGGTGGAGAAGGTCAGTCCATCCACAGAGGAAGCTGCAGAGATGTGGGCACACACCCCTTCCCACTCAACTGGAGCTTAGGCATGATTCTTAGACTCAACCCATCACTCTCCAACTGGTGTTGACTTTTATGGGTGGATGCTTCTCTTTGTTTAGTCCAGCTCTACTGTGTACATGCTCGATAAGCAATGTAAATATCTTGGGTTAGAGCCACACACAGCCATGCTAAGAGCAGACTTAATAAAATCAAAGGGCTAAGGAAGTCACGACAAGTTATGCAACCTGCTTAGAGCTGTTAGGAGAACATGCTGATATAAAAGAAATCCAAGCAAATGCCAGTCTCATTGATTCCAACGGGTCGACCCTAAGCTTGACCGAGTCTGGATCCAGCCCCTTATAATTATGTCCACTTAGACTTGCAGCACAACCATACACTTTTACTCAAAAGTAGCCCCACTGTGTCCAATACTAATTCCAGCTGCATACATATGACTGCAGCCTCAGGGTGGCAGAATTTTGATTCCACTAGAAATAAAAATAGGTTAACTTTGATGAAAAGCAGTTGTGTGTGCACTTCCAAGGAGAGTACAATTACATGACTGTGGTGTTTGTTTACGGGCCTTAACGTTATGGGTCCCAGATTATTGTGTTGATAATCACTCCAGTTGGATGCCATCCTGAATATTATCATACATTTTACACTCATATTTATTCATTTCTTCCATGGGCTCCTCCAATGCTTCCTTCCTTGGCCACAGTGTTCCACCCACCCAAACAGGTCTCCACCTGTTCATAAATAATGAAAAAATACAAGTACACAGGTGGGATTATACTTTCCCCGAAGCATAGAAAATCAAATCCTTACTGGTGAGGTTATGAAGCCTGTGAAATATTTTTCTTGCTATTTTGGTACACCTAGCAAGCAACCTATTCTGAGCCTCTGTATTTTTCTTACCTATTTGTATAACTCTATACAGAAATAACAGCTGGAAAGAAATGGTAACTTCCCAAAATAACTGGACAGAGTTTGAAAGGGCAACCAATTTGATTTTTATATGTACACGAGTTGCTTCAGATGCCTAAGAAAATGATTGATCCAAGGGCAGGAATGCTACATGCAGCCTGTGTTAACATTCTGAAAGCTGTTTTGGGAACCTGGTGAAGCCCTGGCTACAAATCAAATGCATATATGCAATATGGACTGGATCCAAGATCTGCGTTCTGTGAACAGAAGGTAGTTCTGCTTGATTAATACTGTGAAGTAGTTCCCAGCTACTTCCAAGTTACATCTTACAATACTGGGAATAACTTAACCATTATTAGAAATGTGTTTTAATACTGTTAAGCAGTTGCCAGTCTTTTAAGATAGAATCTAGATAGAAGCTGCAATTAGCTGGAATTATTTTTTGTTCTATTTCTTTATCCTGAGTGTGGCCTCTTGTTTGTTTAATTCTTCTATCCATCAGGAAAACACAGACACAGAGAAAAGATCCTCCATTCTAAACCATCAGTGCTATTTTGCAAATTTATGGATTTCCAACATTCACGCACAATACAGAAATAAATGGCTTCAAAATTTAGTAACTGGCTGCATTCACACAACCCAAAAATACAATCCTACCTGGTTAACCATGGTTCAGTTTTTTTACCATGATCTACCTGCCAATCAAGTGGTTTCTACATTATCATGGTTTCCATCCTCCCCACTCCGTCCTCCTGCTGTTGGCATGTATCCCATTGGTCACTGTGCCTGAAATTCAATCCCAAGGTGCATTGCTCCCTGGCTATGTCGCATGCCTCTTCCTCATTGGTCCACACAGAGGCTGGATGCTTGCAGCGCCTCCTGCATTTGTTACTCTTTCCAGGGGACTCTGTGGTAGTTGCATACCAAGACTGTGGAAACCATGGCCATTCGGAGAGCGGGACAAGCCAAGTTGGTATGGAGAAACCATAGAACAAACCATTGTTTTTAATGGTGGTTTCTAAAGACCAAGCTTACCATGGTGAAACACTATGGCTGAGTTCAGACAGCATGACAGACCAACAATGGTACAAAGCCACCATGTAGTCATGCTGTCACAACCCAGCCACTGCCTGAGAGGGTGAAGAGCAAGGTTTGTACCATGAGACTATCTCCAGCTGTATGCATAGGAAGGATTCAGGAAAAGGAAAAAGCATACTTCCCTTCTCCTTTTCAGAAACCTTCCCTACCATGTCATGTGGCAATCAGGCCTTACTGTGCTACTTAACTCTGTGAGGAAAACTTTTTGTCAGGTGATAAACAGGAGGAATTTACCTCTTCCTGGAAATTCTTCTTCTTCTTCAAGCCCTGAGCAACACTACCAGTTTCCTGTTCCAGGCTAGGCTACAGCAGCTCTTCTTTTATGGGCCTCATCTTTCTTTATACTACTACTACTACATACTTTTGGGGGGCCCAAATACTCAATGTATGCTACTCATTTTGTAAAATCATGCAAACAAACATGTCTCTCTTCAGTGGAACCCTCTAGAACTTTTGGGCTCAGGGCCCATTCACTCACCTGATTGGCTGAGCATTCCTTGGATTGCAGATTCTGTCCCCTGGTTTTGCCCACAGATTAAAAATCATCACTTCGCATGGGAAGCCACCGTCTTCAACCGTGGCATCCCTTGTCAAATAAAGTCAACACCAGATAGGAGAACAGAAACCTCTGCTTTAATTCTTGAGAAAAACCAGGATAAGCTGGATTCTAATCAAACAAGACACAGGAAACCCAGAAAAACAAGTTTAACTTCCAATAAATTTGGAGAAACTTGTACCGAGGTGACTATACACATATTCAGGAATGTATAGAATATTTCATATATGAATTTCACACCCAGTTATTTTTGCTTTGCAGGGTGATCCCCCTCCCTGTACAAAACCTCCCAAAGGAAGAGATGATGTTTAAAAAATGGAGGGCTGGAAGACACGGTCATGGCTTATTGCGTTGAACTTTCTGCAACATGAATGTGACTTCCACGTGTTCTGTATTCTGCCTCACTGTTACAGGAAAACATTTCACAGCACGGGATCAAGTCCTCGGTGACTATCCTGGGCCCCCGAAAGGAGCTGGGCCTCTTCCATGGGGAGCAGCACAGAGTTCAGTGGCCGAAGATGTTGCCAAACACCCTTCTTCGAGCCATGTTTCAGACCTCCTTTTCCGAGAGGCTGATACAAGGAAGACGTGCAGGGCAGATCCCATGTTGTTTATATGCCTGCACGAACTTCTGCCTGTACAAATCAATTACTCCATCTGTCATCTTACAATATGTGGGAAACGAGACAACAGAGGAAAGGAAGTGCCAGGAAGTAGGGGAAATGAAGAGGGAACGGGGTGCCAAGCCAACAGGCCTGGGTGTGGGAAATCAAGAGAAATCCTAAGAACTAAGAAGTGAAGCAGTGCAACGCAGTTCTTCTCACAAGATGTCTTGGCAGGGAATGGAGAGGCATGGAGAGGCCCTAGAAGAAGGTGGGGTGGGATCTAAGGTGACGACTGAAACCTGCAGAAGCAAGACAGCCACAGGGAAGGCAAAACGGAAGCCAGAGGGAGCTGCTGGAGAAATCCAACCCAGGAGCTTAACGTGAATGAACAACCTACAAAGAGAGGACAGTGGGGGAATCTATTCCACCTTAAATACCTCTGTGCTGTAATATATTTTAGAACAGAATGTGTATCTCCCACAGGAATGTCTTTCCTTGCTACATATTTCCTGTGGAAGGTGTCCAAAACTCTTGGCAAAAGAACACCTCGAAGCTTGCCATTTGTAGCGTGTAGGTAAGGCTTGCACTAGTTAGTTTCTGAAATGTTGGCCCTGGGATCAAAATGCCCCTGAATGGTCAACCGCAAAGCCAAGGTTTGACTGGCAGCCACCTGCCCTGTGGCATCTCCTAAAGCTGATAATGGAACAGGGCCATGCACAGCTAGAAGAACTGTACTTAAATCGCTGTGCCAGTGGAACGAAGCAGAGGCCAATTAGGCCAGAGTCATAGAAGTTTGGCAAAGCTGAGGACTTCTCAGAAGTTAGTAAAGACTAATTTAACTAGCTGGGCACAAAAGGACGGTGTGTGATGCTTCTCTTGACCCTGGGCACAATCTTCACCTTTACTATCTTACATATGCCACAGACTGCTCTAAAAAGTGCTTTTTCCATTTGTACAGTGCTACCAATGGGACATCATATTGATACCCTGATAAGGCAAAGGTGGGGAAAAAAAAAGAAAAACCAGTTCTCACTGCTGCAAAAAGCATTTTTTTTTTCTTTTTTGCAGAGGGAGGGGGATGCTTATATATGGTTAAACCCCTCAGAAACACAGCAAAGAATCTGTCACCAAGTGGTCTGAAGAAGAGCTGTAAAAGGTGTTTTAAAAAATAAATGCAAAGTGTTTTTGTTAACCTTAGGGTTATTTTTACTCATGACAATATTTCTTAAAAATATTACATCTGCCTTTGAGACGAGAGAGTATCATCTTTTTATAATATGGAAAAATAAACTCTACAGACATCCCAGACTGACACACAGGTGCTTTAAAATAACATTCTCTCCCAATTATAATTCCAAGGGGTGCTTGCCCCGCTCCCTTTATCCAATTGTTCTTAATATGCTGGACTGTATGAATGGGTAGAAGACAAGAATACCTAAAAACAGTAAAATGTTTATTTCTTAGAAAAAAAGAGGGAGTCAAACTGATTGCAATCAGAACTTCCATTTGCGATCAGCAAAGCAAGTACTGCAAGCTTATGCCTTGATTGAATACCTAGTCAAAGAAACTGTTGTTTAAAAAAAGAAAAAACAGATTTCTGCTCCTGCATCGCCAAATCCAGTATTTGTGTGAGAACATGCTTTTTTAAATTGATAACTTCTTCGTAGCAGAGAAACGAGGTCTGTCATGGCAACTCCAAAGCTCTATATTGTCAGTATTAACAAGAACTCCAGAACCCATTGGCAGGCTGAGCAACAGGGACGACTGGAAGATTCAACTGCTCAGCTATGGAAGGTTTTGTTTTTTTACAATACTACCTTGGCCAACAGAAAATAGGCGAACCGCCAAAGTGAACTCTACAGTGCCATTTAGGTTTTAGGGCAAAGGGTCGCCGTGTTCCTGGACACCAGATAATTGAAAACGTGCCGTAAGTTTCAGCTTAGCAGCAGCAAAGCCAGTTCCATACAAGCTGTTCTTCTTTCCTTTAGCAATGTTCATTGTATGGTCATTAAGAAATACTGTAACTGAATGGAGCATACAATGTGGAAATGATCTTTTGTTATGTAGTGCTGTTCACTGGAGAAGACTTCCCAAAAAGATCTTAACTGGACCGTAATATATTTACACTGTAGCATTCCTGTTTTGATCGGCGGAATCAGCACTATGTGATATCCTCTTCTTCTGAACAGTAATCACGGCCCTTTAAAGAGAAAAAGGAGCATTTAAAATGGGGCTAGTTATAGTGAAGTAAAATACACAATACCGAAAATCAAGGACGCATACTAGAAAACGGTGATATGGATTTATGCAAGTTCCTTTAACATCTCTAACTTACTTGTACTGAACACCTACATTAGAAAAACCAGGACTAGCTAAGCTGGTTCAGGAGTTAAATTTGCAAGAAAGCATCCCATCAGTACTGTACTCTCTGGATGGATGTATGGATGGAGCATCTCAAATAAAGACATACTCCCAGACAGACAGACATTTCACAACATACAGCAAGTATGGCTGGTGGGACTACAAGAACATGGGTGGAACAGTTTCCGCTAGTGTGATGTGTTTCCGTTCTCTCTCACCCACTTCGTCCATGTTTCTGTGAGGGTGCCTCTGCACTGTTGAGTGTCGCTGTGTCACAAAAGTCTTGTAAGGTCTGGGGCCCCAGTGTAGCCTACACTGATTCCTCATTTGGCCCATCTCTCCTCCTTCAACCACCTATTGATTAATGGCTTCCTGGCTTCTGTCCCCCAAGCCACATTGTTTAGTGGTTTCCTGGCAGTATCTCCCATGCTAAAAGACTGAACCGCTTCCCCAAGGCTTAGTTACTGGCAGGTAAGCCTTTATATCTGCCAGGCAATTTGCAGATATTCTTTTGCAGTTTGTCCCTCCCCTGGGCCTGGCACCACTTCCCCTTGGAACGCTACCCCAGAAAGCTGAACTTGACCTTCAGGCTGAAAAAGGTTCCTGTTGTATTGATAAATGTGATAATGCAAGTAAGTTGCAAAGCCAGTCCCAGAGACAACACATTACAGTAAGTTAAGCAAGATAGAGATGGAGCAGGGATAACTACGCCCAGCCTATCTCTGTCCAGAAGAAGAGCAGTCCCAACGGCTGGCAGAAAGTCTTCCGAGCCTCCAAATTAAGGTCAGATTTAAAAGCATCCTCAGGCTGAGAGCTTCACCTCAGCAGAAGGCAACCCAAAACCCCAAACAGTGAACACCACTCCCTGAAAACACCTATCAACTGTGCTACCTTCCCCGACAAAACTGAATTGCAGTGTACTGGGCTTCTGCCAATCCATTTTTGACTCCAGACAGTTCAAAGCAACTTGGGCGCTGCCAAACTCGCTCCTGAACCCAGACTGAAGGAGAACGAGATTCTTGGTGCCAACCAAGAATGCCCAGAGCAGCACAGCAGCCACCTGCCCCAACATCTGGCTCTAAGAGGGCTGAGAAGCACAACTGGCACATCTTTGGGGTTTAGAAAACTCTTCTACAGCAGTGCCCTCACAGCTGTGTCCTCTGACCACTTCCTCGAGGGGTAGGCAGGGCAAGGAGCCCAGTGCCTTCCAGATGTTTGAGAGGACCAATACTGACCGCTGCTCATACCAATGAGGGCCACTGAGGCTGGTAGTTTAAAACATCTGCAGCCAAGTCCTACAAATAGCCAATGCAGAAGAGGGAAAGCTTGCTTCTTGCCCTCTTCCATAACCCTGTCACTAGGGGAATTTGCACTCGGCATAATTATTATTCCTTGATTTGAAATTAAGCTCAAGCTCTTGTTCTACTTTTTAAGCATCTTGTCAGCCTTCTGATTACTTTGCGTGGGCAGCAGCAGCATTTGAGAAAAGGAAAGGAGAGAATGAGAACACACACACTGGCTAAGAAGCAAAGGATACAGCCCACGTCTTCCTGAAGCGTGACGAGAGCCCCTTCAGCACAACCAATCTCTGAAACCAACGACCATGAGGAAATGGGATCATGGCTGAATGTATTAATTGAATTAAGCAGGCAGCACAATGTCATATTTGAATATAGGTCACTATCATGCAACCCTCTTCCTCATCTGTTTCACTTTGAAGTTTTCCAAGTTGTGAGATGAATTCATTTTTCATCCTCACTGCACCAAACAGGCCTAAGAAACAGCCTTTGACCGAATCACCAGCCGGGAGTGCGGAAAAGCTTCAAGACTTTAATTTTATTGGCACAGGTTTGTCGTGTGCTGGTCACGTCCCTCCTTCCTTCTGGTTCCAAAACTCAAAATAATTCTTTATAGTGCAGTTCTTTTATCGAGACTTTGCAGGTAACAGAATGGCTTAAGCTCTGAAGAGCCTTCTGCCCAAGCTGAAAAGGGAAGCCTCTGCTCATGGAAAGAGTGCAATCCAAAGTGGAAACTTCCCTCTTGTTCAGTTTCTCAGGGTGGTTTTTGCTGCTGGACAGCAAAGCCCCTCCGACTGAGCAGCTCATGTCTTCAGATGCCTCCCCAGGCGGTCAAGGACTAGGTCTTGCAACACTCCCCACCCCTCCTAAAAATCTTTTCTCCCTTCCAAAACAGGCTGATTCTCACGCCTGGCCTTAGAAACGTCACTAAGCAACCTGAAGGCAGCTTCAAAGCTTCAGACAACTCCCACTGGACTGTTTGCAATCTCTGAAAAACTGCCCCTCTTTCTACAAGCTCCCCCATCTCAAAAGGACTAGAAAGCCCCTTAGGAATCTTCCCCTCTTCTCTCCTTTGGCACCGGGCGGATGGAGTGGAGGGTGTCCATAGAAAGGTTTGTCCCTGCCTACGGGGCATGGGGCAGAATGGCCAGAAATTGCCGAGGGGCTTAAGTCCCTGAAGGGATCCATGGACAAGAGCCCTCCTCCTGCTCCTCTTCATCGCTGCAGTGGATGCTCACCTGCCTTCCACTCTAGCCAACAGGTAATGGTGCAGGTGAGATGGAGCAGCTTACAGGGTCCCTGTGCAATAGTTCGACAGTGGAGCCAAAGAGGGAAAAAGAAACAAGAAGCGCGAGACCACATGCCAATGGAGACGGACAGAGGGGTCCGTCCAACCCTAGCCCTGGTCCAGTGTGGCTGCACAGGCCTGAACTCTGCAAGGCAGCTTCCCCAACTGCCTCCCTTCCGAGATGGGCCTCATCCCCAGTGGGCACGTCAGCTGGGAATGATGGCAGCTGTAGTTCAACAAAGCCACAGGCTGGGAAAGGCTGCCCTGAGGTATAAGCAGGGAACATGGAACCAGCCGGGAATCAGGTTCTGCGCTGTGCTAAGTTAAGTAATGGCTATTCCCTGATTCGCAGTGCAGTCAAAGGTCCTGCGTTTGCAGTTTCACAGTCTTGTCGGGGCTTTTGGACCTCTCTGCACAGGCAACTTTAAAATTTTTAAATACCTGAATCCTAAAAGCCATGGCTGTAATTGTTAGGGGATTACACCTGCCCCCTTAAAGATGGAAAGCGGTCTAATAAATGCAATGGAGTTGACAACAAAAACCGTTTTGAACGACTGAAAGCACAAAAGCAGGCTGGACAGCGGCCAAATTCAGCTCACAGCTAGAGTTTTCAGGTCCTTTTGAGGAGTGAATCAGGCTCTCTTCACATTGGAAGAGAAGAATGTTAAGACAGGAATTTTGTAGAGAAATGGAAGATGACTTATCCTCCAAAGTTTAGCGTTGGCCAGCACATGAAAGCGATGCCTGCATTATGTAAATTACACAATGCTGAGATGCAAATTAGATTAGTTCTGTAGCTGCAAGTAAGTAATGATTTAAATGGCATATGAGTAATAGGTTAGAATGACTTGTGTCCCAGAACAAACGAGGCAAATACCTTTTATGTCTGTACATTTTTAATTGCTTAAAAATTGTGGATGTACAAAGAACAGATGAATATTGTCTCACTGATATCTGGCATGCTAGTGTAAAAAATCTAGTCCAACATCCAAGCGTTGTTTCTCTATTTACCACCTCGGGCTCTTACAATGTTCATTTTGTCATGCAGGAGTCAGAGTAGTTTGCAGAGCGTTAGACTAGGCCTGGGAAGAACCTGGCTTAAGTCTGGGTGGCCTTAGGCCGATCCAACTCTTGGCCTCAGCTACCCCACTGGGTTGCTCTGCAGATAAAATGGGAAAGGGAAAAATAACCCTATATTTTACCCTGAATTCATTGAAGGAAGTGTGAGATATAAACAAGGAAGTGTAAATAAACAAAGACCAAATTCTTCTAATAGTTGGGAAACTGATGAAACTAAAGCTCAGTCCTCCATGTCGCCAAAATATATTTCTAAAAGTTCCCATAAGAAGAAAGATAATCCAGTGCCAGTGTGGCATACCTGAACTGGGACTCGGGTGATCTGGGTTCGAGTCCCTACTCAGCCATGGAGCTCACTGGGTGACTTTGGGCCAATCATAGACTCTCAGCCTAGCCTACCTCACAGGGTTGTTGTTGTGGCAATAAAATGAAGAGGAGGAGAAACTTGTAAGCAGCCATGAGTTGAGTCAGAGGAAGAAAGGCAGGTTATGAAAAGTGTCTAATAATAAATAAGATGATGATGATGGGTTGTATACTGGGCTGGATCTAGGAGCTGCCTTCTGCAGAGGTCTGGGTGACTCTCTCCATCACAACTCGCCCCTCTGCACTAGTCCTCAGGGGACTGGAGCGGCTAGTATGGAAAGGAGGGGACAAAGACGCTCATCTCCACCAGCCTCTACCTGGATCCCAACAATTCTGTCCCTGCAAACTTAAAGATCATTGCTATTTCTCCTTCTACAAACTCTTAGGAGTTCAAAGAAACACCTGAAAGCACAGCAGCAAAGACACCGTCAGAGTTTGGGTGTTATTTAAAGCTGCAGCACATGAAAATCTCGATCTGCATTTAACACAGCAGGGCTCCTTCCTTGCCCCACTCGGTGCCTTTTTTCCTTCAGTTGCAAACTGCAATTATTCTCATGTTCTTCCTGGCATGCTGTACTTCCTCAACAATTAGCTATCGCACTGTTTTAAAATGGCAGGCTAATAAACAAATGGGCGCCATGGGAATACTGAGGTTCTGAAAGCTCAATGGCTCTTTTGTGCCACTCGCACAGTCGCCCCAGTGTGCTTTTGGGAAGTGCGGGATGTCTCCACAGCAGCCCCACGCTTTCTCTTGCTCCGGCATTGCACCACGAGACTCGTTTCCTTGCTGCCGTTCATCGGAGGCGGAGGCAG